GGGGGCTCTTTTTCACTGAGGCACAATACACCCCTGGTGTTCCCACCATGTATTAGGGTGCCATCCTGGTGTTGCCGAGTAGCCACATCTCCTGGGGTGGAGGTGGCAGACATGGTGTCACCTTTGGAGATGGAGGGCTGAGTCCCTGGCTACCCTGGAGCCACTTTGCAATATCTGTTCTGCTGTAAAGTGACCACGAAGAGTCTGTAGGAACCATCTCCCAGGGAATACCAGCCTGGGGCCTCTGCTCCTCTGCAGCTGGTGTTTCCTTCACCCCAGTCACTTCTTGGATATCAGACGTTTGGCCTGTAAAGTGACTCACATTAACCCTTTCCCTGACCTTGTGCTCTGCTTATTTTCACATTCGCAGCTGTTGGATTTAAACTGGGAACTTTGGATGCAAAGACAGTGCTGTTTATTTTTAATCTGTGGCACTGTGTGAACATTAATTAGGACTGATAATAAAGAACACAAACCTAATGGCACCCTCTTGGCAGTCCCAGCTAAGAATCCTGGCGTGGCGACAGCTCAGCTGCTGCTCAGTACATAAGAAGTACGTACTAGCCAGTGAACATGTTGAGAAGACCGAAATATTTCGGCAATTCTTAAGTGTATCCATCCGTGCATTCGAGCAGAAGTGTGTCATCTTGGCTGCTGTGCGCTGATGATGCGGAAACATTAGTTATTTACAGGGGAAACAAGGGCTATTCTGTTTGTGTTGTAGTATTGCAATGTGCTCAATGGCTGTGCAGCCCAAACATCGGGGGGCTCTGCTGGTATGGCAGCTAGGTGAGCAAAGCTCAGATGGCTTAGGATTTGAACAGCACCATGCTGATATAGTTGTAACATTAATTCTCATCCAGAAAATACCTATATGGCTAAAAATGCTCACGAGAATGAACGTGCGGGTGTTTCTGAGGTTACTTCCGAGTTCTGGCCAGTGCCCCTGGGAATCACTGAGAGTCTTTCCATTTATTTCAGTGGCTGCTATATTAAAAATGAGAGTTAATTTTACATATGAATAGCCGCAGGACCAGGGCGCTCGGGAGCAAAATAGCGTCACCAAATCATCAGAACTCAAGATGTCACATGAAGACTCCTAATTTCTGGTGTCAGCTCCAATGCTGATCCCCAGGCTATGAGCTATATCCTGTTAAAAGCATCGTTGTATCCTGGTCGTCCATGTTTTGTGATGGTCAGATCACTGTACTTGCAACTGCACTGAAGGAACAGAAAGGACGTAATGTCCAGGGCTAGCTGTGGCTGTACGGGTAAGTGGAGACAGGAAGTGGTTTGATGATGGTGCAGCAGCTCCCCTGTAATGTTGCAGAGACCACTAAAGAGAAGCTGATAGCTCAGTTGCTTTGATCTTCCCTTAATAACCAGGAAACCCCGTAGTACAGAAAGCTTCATCCTTTCCCATGTCATTTAGTGGTTAACTGGAATAACGAAAACAAAAAACAACCTCCAAATCCTAATAGTATAATTAAATAAATAAATGCATTTAGTCAGCGCCATGACATACCACGAGGCAATGAGTACCACAGATTAACTCTTTGTGATAGAGAGGGTTTTCTTTTCCCTTCTTGATGACTTTGCAGTAGGGATAGCTGCGTTGTTTTTTCTGTACTGTTTGGGTATTTTGATGCTTCCCGGTTCTAAGCTCGGTTATTTGCCTTTGCTGTAAAAGAAACAACTGCAATATTTACAGATGCCCTTACAGATCTCTCCCAGTATGTTTCCACACACTTTCATTGCCCTTCTCCTTTCCACTTCTGTTTCCGCTGTGTCCCTTTAGACAAGGGATGACCAGAAGTGCACTTGGCAGTCCAGGTTGAGGAATGCTGCTGTGGAGCATAATAGGATTATAAGATTCTCGGTATTAATCCTTATCCCACTCTTGAGTCAGACTAACCTTTTGCTTAGACTTTTGCCTCCTGTTGCACAATTAGCTGACTCTTCACTGATTTCTTTACAGCAGCTATTTTATCCTTTCTCAAGGCAGTTATAATTGAGGTAGACCTCCAGCGTGGAGCAGGGTAAGAATTGTTAGGTTGTTGTGGTTATTTGTTTAGTGCTGCAAGTGAGCTAGTCCTAACTCACTGGTGAATGTCACTAGTTCCTTGCCTTTCCCTGTCCCCTGAGGGCCCAAACTGTAGAGACGCACCTCTGAAGCTTTAAATGTAGTAACTACTACGTCGAGCTTTGGGAGACCCTGGTTTCTTGATCGAGACGTCTGCTTCTGCTTTTGCACGGAGGGTAAAAGAGCTAAGGCTTCCCAGGGCACATCGATCACACAAAAGGAGATTTGAGAGCTGGAAATGGGTGGGATAGGTGAAAAGGGGGGCTTGACACTGTATTTTTAGCCTAAGGAAATGAGGCTTAAGCAGTCTGTCTCTCCTTTTCTTACAACTTTTGGATCCACAAAGCAGTTTCAGCCAAACTAAATGGGTCAGAGGAGTCTCAGTAAATTTCTATACTATTCATAAAAACCAGCGGCGGGGTAAGAGCATATCTCACAGCAGCGTCCACCAGATAAAAGCAGTTAGTTACACAGGAAACTTAGATGAGGGAAAAGAAAGAGGTATTGTCTTAAGGAGGGAAGAAGAATGGAGGGAAGAGATGGAGAATTAATGTGTATATATAAATTGAATCAGCTATACTCCTTAAGCCTGACCCAAGCCCAGTGAGGACAGCAACCTCAACAGACTTTGGGACATATCCACGTGCAGGTGTTTGTCTCCATAAGCTTGAACATGCTTTACAGAAATGCATAAATGCCTTTATCTTCATTTTTTAGGGTGTACCCAGAGATTAAGTGACTCCAAGCCACTAAGTTACAGCAGCGTCAAGGCTAAACCACTTTTCATAGCAGAAATAAATGTCCATATATGCAGAAAATGCATTACAAGGGAAATTCAGTGAAATCTCCGACTCTGTTTTGAGCAGAGCGCATCACCTTAGCAACTGTCCCTGGCTCTGCCTATGCAAGCATATTGTGGGATTTCCTTCCCTCGCAGGAATTTTTTCAAGTGTTTACTGCCTGTAACTAACTCTATCCTAGTGATCCTGTAAACTTGTTTGCTTCTTCAGGATTCAGTTACTTTCTGTTATCAGCATAAACTGAGGAAGTGAGTATCAATCATCCAGTGATCACTTGCAGGAAATAAACCCATGAGATAGCAGCCTGCCGGGGCTAAGGAGGAAGGACAGAAACGTGGTACTTTTTATAAGTAGAGCCAAAAATATTATTCACTTGCCTGGTTGTTTTGTTGAATAGTGTGGAGCTTTCTGTCTTTCGTGAGCATTGTCTTCTTTGGATTAGGTCCTGCTGCCATTGAACTTGAGGGAATACATGTTATTAGCTTCATTGAGAACAGGATCAAGCCATTGTCTGTGCTCTTTTTTTTTTTTTTCTTGCCTTAAACAGTGTTGCTGCTTGCTGAGATATTGCAAGGGAGGATCAAGTGTTTGGTTTCCCAGAATCTTCTTTCTGGGCATTTGTATCTAGAACCTGCATATAGCACGGTCCCAGAGGGTGAAATATATTCGGAGCTGAGTGTTTCCAGCCAAGCTTTTTGAAGCCAGGGTAAAATACTGAATCTTCTCACTCAGTAGCTGCTTTTCTGAAGTCGGCGTTGTGCTTCAGGTTTTGCTGAGCTATGGTACAGAAAGCATGATGAATAGCAGGCAAAACATCTTCGGTGACTGCTTTGGAAATCAAGATGTGTGCTGGCTCATTCCATTCTTTCGCAAATACCTTCTTGAGCTATGAGAGGTACGGTGGTGCACCGTATCCCAGAAGGTAAATTTTTAATGTCTTATGCACATAATGGACTCAGCTGTAATTATGAGTCCCATGGCACACAGATGCTACCGGCAGAACGGAAAAGATGACTGCAGGTCCATGTGGCTCCACAATTAGGGACTGAAACATTGATCGTTTCCATTCCTAAGAGCAATGGAAACTGCTGTATGAATTTAAAGCAAAAACTCCGATGGAAAGAGGGATATTTGCAAGCCAGTAAATATTCCCCTGCAATGTTTTAAGTTCAGGCTTTGCAGCATCATCCTACTGCATTGAACAAAACTAACTGAAACCTGGGAACAGCAAAGTGGTTTTGACAAGCCAGTGCCAGGCTCTAGAATAATTGAAGTGAATAAGCATCTAGGTAGTGATGCAGAGAGGAGTGATTATAAAAAAAAAAATCAATGTTTTTTCCCCTCTCTGGTGCTATTTTTAACTTACGGAATCTTACTTCTGTTTTTCTATGAAATCTTGAAGCTGACAGCATCCCTTGCAGACTTGAAACTGAAAGGAAACTATCTGAAAGAACAGTAGGAGATTTGGGATTTTTAGGGCAGATCCTGTTGCTATATCGTGGTGGGCAAATTTCTCCTTCTGTGGAAAGCCCAAATGGACCTCACAGAACAGTGCAGGGCTCTTCCCTTTAACAGGTTTAATGTAGGTTAAGGCCTAGCATTCACACCAAGGGCCAGTATAACCTGGGTGCTGCTTTGTGCTCTGCAAGCTTTTCCGGTATTTTGAACAGAGATGGAAGGAATTTCAGACAAATGGTTGTCATTTTGCCCTGTCTCTGAAAGCAATGCTCCTGTACTCTTGATGTCACAATAGATTATTTTAAATCAGATTTTTCGTTTCCTTTTAAGCATGGTGGTCTTATTTTTTTGTGTGTTATATGACAGCTGTCATAGGTCAATGTCCATTAAATGTGATGTGGCCTTGTAAGTTAGAGCCATAGAAACCATTCCAAACGGGAAAGACAGTTTGGATCACAGCTCTTCATTCATGCTACTGGCAACAATTTCTTTGCATTCAGTGATGCAAAATCAGTCATATACTGTACTTAGTGCACTAAAGTTTAAATCTTAACATTTTCTACTAACGTAAGATAAGTGTTTAACAGAAGGGAAAAAAATCTTTCTCTGTGACAGGAAATCAATTTAATCCATTCGTTGTTTGTTTGTTTCTTTTTCAGGCTGATATTTGGCACTCTTTACCCTGCATATTATTCTTACAAAGCCGTGAAGTCAAAGGACATCAAAGAATATGTGAGTAACGATATTTGCGACTGTGCCGCGGGGTTCGTTTTCTAAGATTGCTCCTCACCACATTGTAAAGTTGTCACCTGAATTCTGGGAAGGCTCAAAAGCCAGGGCAAGGGGACATCTGGCCTGAAGGCTGGCTGGTTGACTGCTAGGCAGAAGGCTCACATTGGGAGACTTAGGTTTCTGCTCCTGGCTCTCTTATGGAATTGATGTGCTCTTTGACAAATCCATCCTATTTCTCTGGTGTTGCGAGCCATATGCAGCTGACTTAAAAGGTGGTTGCCATCCAGAGCTTTGCATGTTTTCCTTTGTTTCTGAAGAGCGGCATAAATCAAAGCCTCTTCAAAAAGCCCTGAAGCTTCTGCTGCTTGTTCAAAAGAAGGATCATTGAAGCAACTCGAAGCAGATATGACTGAATCCTGAGATACAAATATCTTTCCTTGTGGAGTGACCTATTTACAGACAGCTCTGACGACTGGGTGTGCTATCTTGTTCTTCTGGTGAAAAATCTTCCCTCGGCCCCGGTTTCTAAAGGCGGAGGTGCTGTTAGGGAAAGTGAAATGTGGGAGAATCAATACCTCTTGGACCCCGTTGGGGTCCTATAGGATTTGCAGTACCCTTCACAACCTAAGCTCTTTGTTTACTTTGCTGAACTGACTCCGCCTCCAGATCCTGACTCTTCAATCCTCTCAAGATCTCAGGGATAAGGAGCCCATTTTCTCCTCTGGGTAACGGCTTAGATGGCTATCCCATTAAGTCCTTAGTGCAAACTCAAACTGTGACTCAGAGTGGCTGCTGAGGTTTGTCCAGTCTATCATTCCCCTCCTTCAGACGATTATTTGGGATATTTTGAGAATCACGTTACCCAACACACCAGATACTTGAGGAAAAAATGTCCCTGCAGCCCTTGTACAAGCTGTGCTTCTCAGGGTTGGTGCATCCCTTGCTTGGAAGTGCTGATGCTTGTGCTAGCATCCCCAAGCAGTGTCTGCTGCTGATACTTAATGTTTTTATAGTTCCTTTCTGCAAAATTTTCCATTGAAGAGTGCACTTCCTGCTGGAAATTCAATTGCAAAAGAGGAACTTAGAACAGATTTATGGGGCCATGACCCTAATTTGGGAGCAGTGATCCATCAGCTAGAGGTCCAGTGTAAAAAATAAATAACTCTAACATGATAAAAACTTTCCTGTAGGTATACCTGTACTAGTCTAAACTTATGTCACTATAGTTTATTTTTATTTTGTTTGATAATAGCCATTTGCATACATGGTGTTTTAGGCTGATCTAAGCCCATCCACACCAGATTTTGGGTTGTGTTTAAAAGTTTTGCTGGCAGTGGTGTCTGACAGCACTGTGCTGGCAGTGAGACTTTATATTTATATAGGGTTACAGCAGTTATACTGCCAAGTGCCTGGGGAAAATGTCTTCCCGGGGCAGCTTCTGCCAGCTTTTTTACATAACTGTGACTCCTTTAAATGTCAGGGGAGCAGGTATATAGCTGGATGACGGGTGCTCAGGGAAGAATTGCAGTACTTGTAGTCAGATGGGGACACGCTACAGGTACCATCTACAGCGCTGCCATCAGGGGAGATGCTGGAGCAAGAGCTGGTAAGATCCAGGATGGTTGTCACCTCCATCATCCTTCTCCAGAGCAACGCCTGGTTTGGGTATCCCTCTTGAACTGCCCTGTTTCCAGCCTTCTCTCGTTCTATTGTAGTTATCCCAGCCTCAGTTAACGTGATCCAATATTCTAATTCAGAAAAGGTCTAAAACTCTGACACCTTTTCATAGGTTTTACTTCATCAAGCTTACAACATTTCAGCAAAGCTGCTTAGGATTATAGGGTGCATTTCTGTCATTAAGCAGTTACTTTTTCCAGACAAGAATGTCTATTTTATCAAATTGGAATTTTCCTTAGGAATCTCCATTTTCACATATAACCATCAATTTTCTGTTAAATTAACAACTATTGCCTTACCATCCCTTTTCCTTTGGAGATACTGATCCTGAAAGCTCTTTCAAACTTTCAGTTTTACAATTTTTCAAAGGAAAAAGATTATTGGAGGGAAATAAAATGTTTCTCTCTCATCTCCAGTATTTGGAAATAACTGCACACATCACCTCTGTGATAATAGCGCAGCAGAAGAGGAGCACCACACCACTTGATAGAAGTTAGTGGAAGTGCAGGTGGCGTATGGCAAATACGTTGTTTCCTTCCAGCCCAAGAAGAACCAATACCACATACCTCAGTATAGTTTAGGCCCTGCTTTTAAATGCCATTTACTGCTCAATGGCAAAAACCCCCGGACTCTTGATTTACTCAAGATGCTATAGTTTTCCTGACCAAGTCACAGTCCCTAAAGACTCTTTCCTTGTCTGTCACTACCACCATAGCAAAGGCCTCCCCCCATAAATCATCCACTGCAGAGTCCACCCCACAGTAGCATTACTGTAGTTGAACACAGTGACAGCACTGTATGTGCTTTCAACACAAATGTGAGGTAAAATGCTCAGGCTTAAGCCCTAGGTAAAAGGTATTTAAGCTATTGCACTTGCTTTATCAATGCAATGGATCTAAAGGTATTTATGTGGGTAGGTATCATGGAGCAACCGACACACATTAATTAATTAATTTGTGATAAGTTGATTTTGTGTGACCCTTGAATCATGGGATGGGCAGATAGCTCTTTATTTTTTTTCTGGCTATTTTTCCCTGTCTGTGGATATAGTATAAGTAACTACATTTTGTCTTAACGGCAATTTGGCGCCCACCCTGCCTTTGGTATTAAGATGAGCCAGATGAGATTTTTAATGACCTGCGACGGAGTCGTAGCCTTCAGCTGTCCAGTGGAGCTTCCTCTATAGGATCAGTGAATCAAAAGGTTCTGCCTTTTGGGGAGACCAATCCTAAGGGCCAAATTCTTCCTTTCCAAGGGCTTGTGTGGAAATCTGATGTGTCTTTTATGCTGAGGTGAGAGAAACCCAGGAATCATATTCAAGTCCTTAGTAA